CATTTAATTGGACAAAGAGGCATACTATGAGAGCTGGTCACAGGGATTGCGTTCAAATTTAGGTCAGTTGTTTTGGAGGAACTGTCGAAATGGCGGAATCGCAGATAAGTTTGAGCTAGGAAAATCCTCACATCAGTCATTGAAGTCTCCCGGTTTGAGGAACATTTTGACTTTCGCAGTTACGTACAAGGATTGACGGACAAAGACAGGTGAGCGAACAAAGCTGTTTGTCAGCATGTTTCATAACTAAAATTGTTAGCGCGGCTGGCAATACATCAAAGTTGCACACGTCATTTGAAAAGGCATCACCCGGAACGTGAATATCAGCCGTACCAAAAGAAAAATGACTGAACTGCAAACCCAACTCCCACTAGCATTTAAGCCTCCACCACCGCAAGAAAGTTCGGGTTGTCAGTTTCACTGCCATGTTAGCAAAAGCCCTACCTGGCTCCTATTGCCTATTCTGTCGCCTACGAGAGGTGTTTTTTTCTCCACACAGGAACATTGTTAGTGCAGCAGATCTGCCCTTCGGCAAGCATGCCAGAATAGCGGAGATCTTGGGACAATATTTCCTCACGTTTAGACATGATCGAGAGGGAGAGAGGACGCTGGCACGGGTCTGTTGCCGCTTCTCCCTACGTAGGCCTATTATTTTTATTTTTTAGAAGGATCTCTACTTCTTTTCTTTTGTTTTTGCACGGATGTATATGGATGGCTGTATACCAACTATACCCAGGGACAACTTAATCCCTTTCCTGCAAAGTCCCCTGTCAGACTGGACGAGCTGCTAACGTTCTACCATACCACAACAATTTCCAGCTCAACTTTCTCACCCCAGCTCGATCATCTGCCATGCTGTGGATCTTCTGTGTTTCTGGGCTCTTTCCCATCTCTGGTCTGGCAGGTCCGTGGCCGAACACAAACAGTACCAACTTCTGCATCTGTCCCGGACCGGCATGATGCAAAGTACTGCCATCACGCAGCTGCTCGAGTTAAGGACACTTACGATACTCCAACCATGTATCTCAGCACTTAAGGGAGCTTGGAATTCTACGCCGAAGCCGTATATCCACAGAAGCTCCCGTAGAGTTTGTTTAAGTTCCCCAGTCATGGAGACTCCATTCCAGTCACTGGCTGGTCAGCTGAGCACACGTGTCGCACGATTTTCACGTCATCATAATACACGCCGGCTCGCATGGAACAAGATAGTAGGCTCTGGAAACGACCGCGAGACCCACACCAAGCGGGACAGGAAAAACCATGGAGTTGATTCAGCCCCTACTTCTATCCTCTCCATTAGCACCGTTCATCGAAGCGCTCAAATGATACTATTTAACACACAAATCCCCTCCTAATAAATCATGTCTCAGATACATGATCCACATCCTAGATAGTGGATTGATTTAATGGTGCCGTTACTGAGACCTGGCATCAGCCAGGAGGCCTTTTCAGTTCTAAATGAAACCTGTCCTCCTGGCTATAATTAGCTGGAGAAAGCCCGCCGCACTGGTCGGCGGTGGAGGCTTAGCCGTAATACACCGCAGTGACTTGAAACTGACCCCCTGGTTCTCTTCCTGACGTATCCTTTTTGACATGCCTCGCATTCAAATGCCAAACCCCCTTTCCCCATGACAGGTATTCTTCATCTACCGCCACCGCAAACCAAACCCACGCCTTCATCTCAGAGATATAATGAACTGTTCTCTCTCAGTCTGTACCGCGTCTGCAAATACTTCATACTTGGGGATTTGAAATCCATGTTGGACACCCCCCTCCCGCCAACCTGCAGCTGACTCTTGCAACTACTGGATGTTCTCAACTTCAAACAGCATGTTGATGTCCCCACACACACAGGAGGCACATGCTTGACCTGGTTATCACTGATCGGTCCCCCATCCACAAATCTGTTGGGTGTACGATCTGGGAGTGCCGGATCACAAGGTTGTTTCAATGGAGTTCAAATTGTCTGACCACATCAAGCCCAAGACGTGAAAATTTATTCAGAAATTTAAAACACGTCAGGACACAGACATCATGACTTTGGACCTGCCAGGCAAATCCCCCCTTCTGCACTGTCACTACGAGTCAGTGAAATCAGTGGAATACTACAAACAAAACGCGCTGAGTTACTGTCCTGGATCTCCACGCCCCCTGAAATTCACTGAACAGTCAGCTTCTCGCCGCTCAGCCCCTGGGTATCACTTAGAGTTTGCGTAGGCATGGAGGCAGCTGGGCTGTACTCGAGGGCGGTCTCGCACGATCTGGAACTCATTTTCACAGATTACCTATTCAGGGACATCGAAAAAACCTACTCGAAGTCACCAAAAAAAAGCAGTGGTCACAATTTCTACTCGACACATCAGTTAAAAGTCCTGGAAACATCAAGCAGTATTTCTTCTATGTTGATCATGTCTTCCTCAAAGCCAAAACTCCCTCACACATTCGACAACTACAGAAGAGCAGTGCAATAATTTTGTTACTGCTCAGGACAAAAGTTGCCAAACTATTCGCTCTCTTCTCTCCACCCCTTGCGCTGGTGTTCTGTCCCCTAGCTTGTTTAACCCACAGCATGGGATTTTCCAACCGCTCTGCTGCTTCACGGAGATTCTCTCAGCAAAGGTTGAGGAACATTCATCTGCAAGATGAAGACCCTCCACCTGCACACTACGCCCTCTACCGCCACAGCCCTTGTCAAATCAAACATCTCGGCTATAAGTCCATGATCACCCTACGTCATCACCAGCTCCCTCAAGCTGGTCATGTTCCAATTGGCTCTAAAACTGCCGTCATCAGACCCCTTCTCAAAGAAAACCCACCCTAGACCCAGAATCCTGCGCCACTACAGGCCCATCTCCAAACCTCCCATTTCCACCAAGTGCTGGGAAAGAGTTGCCGCACAGCTCCAAGACCTCTACATTAAAACCGCCTCTTTGAAAATTCCAGTCCGGTTTCCGTTCCGCCCACAGCACTGAAACGCTTCTTGGTCCAGGGTCACAAACGACCTGCTGATGGCGGGCTGATATTGGATTCCCCTGCCTCCTCATCCTCCTGGATCTGACTGCAGCATTCAACACTGTCGAACCAGGTAACCTCCTCCTTCAGCCCTCGAAACAACGATCGGACTCTCTGACTCCGCCTGAGCTGGTTCCATCCTACCTGTCTGGAAGAACAGAGTAGTCTCCTGGGAGGTGCGATGTCCCAGACAACCCTATCACCCTGTGGTGATCCCTCAAGGTCGGTCCTTTGGGCCCACTCTGTTCACTGTACACTCTTACCCGTTGGCCGTGTCAAGCATGGAATATCATTCCATATGCTACGCTGATGACACGCGCAGTAGTATATAAAAGATCCAGACTCTTATCCCACATGCTTCCTCACTGCTCACCATCATCGTCACCGGCTCCCTCAACATCCCTTAACACCTGCATTGAGGAGATAAAGGGCGCTGGATGCGAAGAAAATTCTGCAACTAAATAGCTCTAAAACAGAGCTGATTTTGGTTGGCACACCAAACCAGGGGTCCAGTCATCCCCCATAACCCACATTACCTTTTCTGGACTAAACGATACCCCTCTCCACAGCAGTTACCAACCTGGGTGTTAGATTTGATAGACATCTAACCTCTTGACACCCACATCCAAACACCTGTGCAAAAACCTCCCTTTCTACCAACCCTCGGAACATTGCAAAACTCGTGCACACGTTCCTGTCAGATGCAGAACAACTGGTCCATGGCCTTCGTCTCCCTCAAGGCTTGCTTACTTCAACGCTCTCCTCATCGGGACTCCTAGCTGGGGAGCTTCAGAAGCTGCGCGAATATGTACAGAACGAGTGCGCGCTAGGATTTCCTGATGAGGATGAGGAAAAGTACAACCCACATCACACCCGTCGTTCATTCCCTCCCACTGCTTCCTGTCTCATTCAGGATCGAATTACAAGATCGCACTATGACCCATCAATGATCCACCGGAACCGGGCTTCTCCATACCTGAAGGAAAAATTCTCCCATCTCAACCTCCACCGCAACCTCGCTCCAAACTGGACCATCGGCTTCGCCCCTAGGACCAAACTCCGCACCAATGGGGGACTCAGGCTTTCTGTGCAGCTGCTCCCTCGTCTGTGGAATTCCCTTCCCAGACCACCTGAGGACTCCACAGACGCTGATGCCTTCAAGAAAGGCCTTAACTTAAAAACCTTTTCTTTTTAAAAAGCTGTTTGATTAAACTTTTGTTTATTTTGTTTGTTTTTAGTTATGCCTCATGTAGCACTTTGGGGAATTGGCTGTGAGGCAATGAAAAGGTGCTTTATAAATCGAATTTATCTATTATTGTTATTAATGTGGAGAAGTTATATTTTTTATTAAAAAAACATGAAAATACAATGACAGGCAGGCAAGTCCGTAATGTCAAGGCTGGGCTACTTAGTTGGTACTAGTACTATACAGTTAAAGTACAAGATTATTTCAGTTCATCGAAAAATGCTGCACCTTAATGTTTGTTTTATTATAATATTTTGTATTTTATTTGAGTGAATACATTATTCAACAGTTTAATAATAATTAAAAACCCCCAAAAAATATTTCATTTTTGTGATAATTTTTCTGCTGTACCGAAAACGTACCGGAACGTGACCTTAAAAACCGACGTACGTACAGAAACCAAAATGTTTGGTGAACCGTTACACCCCTACCGTCCTGAGTTTTCTGTTTATATTACCACCCTCCTGTAAACCTTACGATGAAGCAGTGCACTCCTACAGGCCGTGATGCACCAGTCTCCGTTTATTGCACCTGTAGAAGTTGCAGAGTATCCTGGTCCATGTGGAACCTCTGCAGCCTGCAAAAGAGCCGCTGTCAAGCTTTTGTGATGTGTAGTGTGAAGGTCGATTCGGTCCTCAGTGATGTGGACACCGAGGAACCTTGAAGCTGACTGCTCTCCCACCGTAGTCCCATTTGATGGCGATGTGTCCGTGTCCCTCTCTTGCTGTTCTGTAGTCCACAATCAGCTCCTTGGTTTTGCTGACGTGAGATGGAGTTGGTTATCCTGCAGCAAGATGTGGGTTTCGACCTTCCTTTCTGTAAGCGTCTCGTGCCCGTCGGTGATCTGCCGCGATGACGGTCGTGTCGTCAGCCGAAACTTCACAATGGTGTTGGAGCTGTTTTTGTGGCCACGCCAGTTGTGTTGTGAATTAGGAGTAGAGGAGAGGCTGAGCATCAGCCTTAAGGGCTCGTATTGAGTATCAGTGAATGTGATGTTTCCGCACCCCACACTGCTGGGGTCTGCGCGTTCAGGAAGTTCAGGATCCAGTCAGAGGGCGCTGTTGAGGCCCGAGGTCTCTGAGCTTGATGACCAGCTTTTGAAGGCACAATGGTGAATTTGAAGGCTGAACTGTAATCAATGAACAGCATTTCACAGTTATAGTGTTCTCTGGTCCAGGTGTGAGAGGGCAGTTGGATGGTGAGGGCTATTGGCTGTCGTTCTGTTGACCATGTTTGCCTGTAGGGCCAAAACTGCAGGGGTTCCAGAGAGTCAGGGAGGCGAGGAGGTGATGAAGTTTTGACTAACCGTCAAAGCACTTCATTATGATGGAAGTGAGTGTAACTGGCGGTAGTCGTTCGAGGCTGGTGATTTTTTGACTTTTTTGGGGGACAGGGAAACGATGGCTGGAGTGTTT